ATACAAAGATCAGTAAGACACAAGGTCGTGAAACTGGTGTCATTCAATATTAGCGAGGCGCTTGCTGGCGAGGTGGTGTCCCTGGCCTTGGGCACAGTGGCAGGAAGGCAGAGGGCTGTCTGTGAAGCTCTCATGCTAGGGAAAGGGAGACGAGCGATGAGGAATCCTCAGGGCTCCAGAAGTACGAGGATTCTGCCCAGGAGAGGAGCTGCCCAGGGCTGCCTCTCTCTGTAGGGAAACTAGCTGTCCTGTGTCAGCCTCCTGCCAGGGCACAGATGGCAGAATGTGCACTTGTGGTTGAAAGGGAAATGAGGAAGGGGTAGGAGGAAAAACTGAAGTCCAACCCAAGTCCTGTTCACCAGCCTGCAGGACTGGAAAGTGAGAAGAAAGACATAAACTGGCAAATGCAAGGACTGTCCTCGAGAACATCTCAGGAAAGCTCCAGGGAGTGGCACATACCTATACTCTCAGCAGCTCGGGAGGCTGAGGCAGAATGATCATGAGTTCCAGGTCAGCCTGCGCAACTTAAAGGAGACCTTTCCTCAAAATAAAAGGACTGAGGATGTAGCTCCGCATATGTAAGGGTCCACTTTTCAACACAGGAGAAAAAGAAAATAAAAATAGACACAAAAGAACAACTTACTAAAATTTTGTCCTGGCCCAGTGCTATATGTTAAGTTGCTCAATTCTTAGCCTCAGGGTAAGAGACCAAAACAACAGAGGATTTTTAGTAACCAATCCTTATTGAGATAGGCAATCCGTAGAATTTCCAAAGGAGAAGACACTTAAAACATGAACCCGATGAGCAAGAATTTATCTGAAGCTGTACCTTAAAAAAAAAAGAGAGAGATTTTCACCTTTGATTTGTCCTGTCTGCAGGTCCCCCTGGAGGGGAACACTGATAGGGTGGCCTGCTTTGCTGTCTGTCTGCTTCACGTACCCACTTGGTAGTCCTTCCAAGGCACTGTCCTGTTCTTTAATCCAAGACCATCAGTGCTGCAGTTAGAACTTTCTTCCTATCCCATAAACAAGGCAGCCAGAGGAAATTCCCCGGCTGCAGCCAGAGGGGCAGGCGGGCAAGTGGGTGTGTAGTGTTTGGGGGGGGGATGGTGTAGGGGGTGTGGAGGCTCCACAGGATGGGAGATGGGGCCCTCCCCAGTGACCGCCTTGGTAAGAGACCTCCTCCTAACAGGGACCCCTCTGTTGTTGTGGCTCGGAGCTCCACTTGAGAAGCATAGTTTCCCAGTGATGCCACTGGATTCCTGATGTGTGACACTGCAGGGCAGTGTGGTGAAGGGTACTGTTGACTGCCTGGGGCCCCAGACAGGGACACCATTGTGAGTCACATTCACCATGTGAGCTCCCCTTTCCCATGACTGGGGCTATTCTTAGGCTAGGTCTCTGCTCCCGGGGACAAAGGTCACTGGGACCACAGTCCCTCTAGGTAGGTGGGTGGGCTGGGTGCAGGGGCTGGGGTGCACCAGGAGAGTGGAGGAGGGGGCTTCTGTGACAGCACTAGAGCAGGGGCGAGGGCTGGGGCTTGTGGCCCAGGATTCAAGCAGATGTGCGCCAGGCAGAACAGGGTGGGTTGTAAGTGGGCGTTTCTGCCAGTCTGAGGCATAGACGTGGTGGATATGGTTGGTAGATGAGTGAAACCAGGGTGTACTGTTTGACCCCCAAGCTGCCTCCAAGAGGTCCTGATTTACCCTTCTAGACTCAGAGTGAGGGCCATGTGAACCTCAGAAGTAGCTCCTGTGTGAGACTCCAGGAAACCAGCGCCCCCTGAAGCCAGAACTCTAGCAGGAATCAGCAGTGCTGTCCTGGAGAACAGCTCTGTTCCTTGCCAGTTTCTGTTGCTCCCACAGCCAAAGAGCAGTTTAGGAGTCAGCAAAAAGGCAGCAGAGAGGTTAGTTCCGGAGGACCGTGGGGTCCCGTCATCCAAGGCAAGTGTGGGCACCTGCCCGCCTTGTGCTCTGTAGCATCTGGCGGGGGACTTGTGCTGTCAGTGCCACTGTGCAGACCTTCCTGGCTGTGAAGCTAACCATGGATGGTTCTTCCCATTCAGCTACCTCTGCTTTCCCAAGGCACCTGCTTTTCCTATCTGTCCTGCTTCCCTTTGCTAATAGAAAAAGAAGAAGAGTTTGAGAGCAGCACCTAGGCCTGGGGTTCCTGGTGCCCCAAGTCTATTTGCTGTGTTCCTTTGAACATAAGGAAGCTCACAGTGAGGAACGAAACCTTAGCAGGCAAGGACTCACCCTGTTCGCAGGCCATATTCGTAGACATCAGTTGTTTGATTCAGAGAACTGCTGGTTTGACGTTTCAATTCAGGAAACGGTGCTGGAGGGAAAGTAGCAAGAATTCACTCTGCAGGTCTCCTGCCTGAGCCGGTACCTGTGTCCTGCATGAAGCCCCTTCTCGGCCTCAATGCTGCGAGAATGAAGACGAGGCTGGGCTGTGCTCTTGGGCATCTCCCCAGCACCTGCACATGCCTGAGAGTCCCTTGGTTTCTCCATCTTTCCATCCCTTTCTTTAGCTCAGTATATTAGGTTCCGGAGGCTATAAGGCATGAGAGAGGTTCTAAAGTAGCGGAGTGGGGGGACATAATGATACAGCGTAACCTAACCAACCATCACAGGAGGATTCACCACTAGCGCTGGCAGGTGACCTGCGCAGGACTGGCTGAGAAGCCAGGAGGAGCGGTCTACTGCCCCAGGCTGGTGTGAGAAATCGGAAGAGATGATAGATTTTTTTTTTTTTTGTCTTTTTCATTTTTATTGGTACCAGGGATCAAACTCAAAACTGCCTGCTTGCAAGTCAGGTGCTTATGCCGCTGAGCTAAATCCCCAGCCCCGAGATGATAGATTTTTAAAACCAGGTCCTTTTAACCCTTTGGTCATTGGCAGTAGCCAAGCAGTTTAGATGGCAGGCTTTTGGTTCTGTTTTGTCTTTGGGCAAGAAATGAAGGGTTTTGGGGCCAGAGTGACCAGGTCCCAGTCCCAGCTGCTTTACTTCTGATCTGCAGGGCTTTGCACAAGTCAGAAGCCATGTAGTGTATGAGCTTCCTCTCTTGGAAAGTGATACACACAAATAGAATACTAAGTGTGTATGTCGCTAGACTTTTCATGTGAGGAATCACAAGATGGCCTTAAAGTATCAGTCAGAGGCTGGTGTGTAGTGGGGGCATGGTGGGTCGTGGCTTCTCTTAGTCTCTGTCCAGATCTCTGTCCAGGATCTCAAAGCAGCCTCCTCCTAACACACTCAGGTTTGTGGTGTGGGTTTAACAGTGTCCTTCTTTGCAGAACTTCAGGATCCTATTGTTTACAGGCTCTGTAAATTTCATCAGGAAACCTGTAATGTCACGAGGACTCTGGCAAGTGCATTTCTTAAGAGCAACTTGCTTTCTTCCCTTCTGGGCCTCTGATGGCTTCTCCATGGGTTCTTCAGCTAAGACAGAAGGTTGTGAATCCAGTCAGGGTGCAGTAGCTGCTGCCTTAATTTCCAAGAAACTCAAGCTGTAAACTAAGTGGCTTTTTAACAATGGGTAGACAGACAGAAAGTGATGATTTGCCAATGCAGTCCTCTGGAGGTATTTATTTTGGAGGTATTTGCTGAATCTTTTCATTCTAAAATACATATACGGTATTTCATGCACAATGGTTTTAAAAAGCTAAGGGTGCATTCTCAGAGAGATTAGGTAGAGGCATTTCTTGTTTCATATTTAGCTTAGGGGTACAGAAAAAGAGCACTGGAAACAGCCATTAGGAATTCTTCGCTGGAGGAAGGTTTCCATGGTTCTCTGCTGACCATGGAGATCAGCTGTTTCTTCTTCTTGGGTCAGTGGCGGCTCTTTTGGTGCTTAGCATCTGACCTTGGACCAGAGTCATTTCACTTTTTTGAGCTCCTGCTGCACCAGTAGGGTGGAATTAGTAGGACCACTCATGTCCAACTCAGAGTACATGGGTGGAGAGTGCGTTTTAGGAGAAGTAGAGTGATATAGAAGTGTAAGATGCCTTCAAGAAGTGTAAGATGTTCTAAAAGAATAGCCACATAGAACGTAAAGGAAGCTTCTCCTTTAAATGGAGAGGGTCTTAAAGATTACTTCATGGGGAATCTCAGTTTATTTTGGATCAAACGTATTTGAAATTTCTAAAGCTAAGGATTAGAGCCTTAGAATATCAGGTTTTGTAAGAGGAACATCCCAGGCTTCCTCTACTAGGGTGGGTTGTTCCCAGCCCTGTCTTCAGGTGGTGAGTGAGATGGTGCCACAGGGTACAGTGCAGACATGGGAAAAGCCATGCACTCACTGTCAAACCTGTGTCAGTCTCTCCAGCTAAACCCAGAAATTACACAGGAGCTACTGGTGGCTCTGTCATCGCAGAATAGAAAGATCAACCAAGAGGAAGATGATGTGTAAACCCTTTAGCATAGGATAAAATGACTGGGGGTGGGCACACCAGGCCTCCTTGAAGATGAGATCTTGAGTGTTGGTGCTAAGGCAAGAGAGTAGTGTGTGTGTGTGTGTGTGTGTGTGTGTGTGTGTGTGTGTAAAAGAAAAGTTCCTGGGAACTCTGATTTCTGCTTGGACTTACAAGGCATTCTATAATTAATGCTTTTCTTTTTAAGGTATACACAACAGCTTAGTTTTAGAAGGCACGTAAAACTATGCTTCCTTAGAATATTCCAGAAAATAGACCCTACATTTTCTTTCTAGAGTTTGTTTAGCAATCAAAATGAGCTGAGTCTTTAATCAATACAAATAGAGCAGTCGATATATTATCTTACAGGCTTTTTGTGCATGTGGTGGAAAGTCCTTGCTGTTAGTCTGTCTGAGCTCAGGGTAGTATTCCCAGCATTTTCACTACAAGTTGCCCCATTTTCACCTGCCTGCATAGACCGAGAGACTAGGGCTGGGCGAGGCGGGGGACAACACTGTCTATTGGGTTAGCTGCCGAGAGTCCTGCGTATGTGGTGTAATGATTCACAACCCCTTGTGTCTCCAGGCAGCGGACCCATCCAGCTGTGGCAGTTTCTTCTGGAATTACTCACTGATAAATCCTGTCAGTCTTTCATCAGCTGGACAGGAGATGGCTGGGAGTTCAAACTTTCTGACCCAGATGAGGTAAGAAAAGAGTGACTTCAGAGGCCTGGGTTGAGGGATGTCATCTTGGATGGGGCCTGGATGACATCCTGTAGGGCTGCAGTCCCAGCTCTGTTACTCGCTACTCACGTGACCTTGAGCACGTTGTAGAGCCCGCCCAAGCCTTAGTTTCATCTTTTGCAAAACAAAATACGCACACTTCCCACTCATTTTCTGGGGTGAACTGATAAATACATGAATTGCTTGGCACATAGTAGGTGCTTCATTATGCGCGAAGTCACTTTCTTGACCTTAGCACTTTTCTGAGGCTCTGTCTCTATGATTGTCAAAGGGACCAGCTCAAGAGGCCTCAGAAGCTTGGTGCAATTTGTTCATCTAATCTTTCTTTCATTTCACAAGTGCTCGTTAAGTGGCTGATCTGTGCCATGCCTGATTCTGATGATTTAAAAAAAACAATGTAAAAGGGAGCAAGATCTGTGTTCTGGTGGGCAGGAGAAAATACTTGTGCCCTGTGTAGAAAGAACACTTCCTGTTGATGTGACAGGCAGGTACCATTGCAGCTCAGCTCTTTCTCCCCATGCCCTCCCTGTGCATTTCAGACTTTCAAAGCAAGAACATTCTATTAATAATATGAGTCTCAGTTACCTTTCTCATTGCTGAGACAAAATACACAACACCCAAAGTTAAAGAGGAAAGCTTTATTTAGCTCACAGTTTGTAGATGTTTCAGTGCATAATCAGCTGGCTCCAAGGCAGGATGGCATGACAGAGGGGCATCGCACAGGAGAACCAGGCCATGGCAAGCAGAAGACAGCCAAAACAAGCAACTAAGGGACCTTGACAGCATCTTTCTTGCCCTTATGTTATCCAGGCTACTTAGGGCAGGTAGCACTCACACCCTTAATCCTACTGCCCTCGAGCCCAGCATTGCACCATGAATGCTAGAGTCACACACACGAGATCCAGCTGCCTCTGAACAAGCCCCATCTGTGACCACATGAGGCTTTGGTCTAGACAAAGCCAGAACAAAGCCAGAACATCATCTAGACAAGCCAGAACAATGGAGAAGAGTGCTTAGAGTGTGACTCTTCCTTTTTCTCTCTAAGAATCAAATTCTTTAACCCCATTCTGTAGGAGTTTAGGATCACTGCATTTTCACCAGCTTGAATAACTCAGCTTGATTACCATCCATGCCCAGTCTTCAAAAGCAAGAATTCAGAAGTCGTATCATGTGCAGCAGCCTGCATAGACATGGAGAATATCACATTAAATGAAATAAATTAGGCACAGAAAGACAGACACTGCATGCTATCACTTGCGCACAGAAACTAAAAAGTCCTGTAGAAGCAGACCGGGAGCAGTGGTTCCCAGGGCCTGTGAAGGGGACAGGACTGGCCATGGAGAGAGCCTGGACAGTGAGCACAGGAGGGACAGGATAACTTGTAGTGTTCTACAGTGTGCTAGAATGACCATGGCTGGCATAATTGAATATTTTGAAATAGCTAGGGCAGAGGATTTTGAATGGTGCCACGGAAAGTAACGCTGTATAACCAAGGGGCACATAAGCCAGTTCCCTGATCCGATCATTATGTATCATGCACGTGTGTCAAAATGTCACCCTGTACCCTATAAATGCATATAATTACTGTGAGACAATTTAAAATTAAAATATTGGAGAAGAAAGTTCAGAGGAAATCATTCGGAAGGTAGCACAGAGCTCTCTGATTCTCTTAGTTGAACATGATGGGGCATCATAAATCCATGTTGATGTGTAAATACACGTTTGGAGGATATCCCATAAATTGTTGCCCACTCTTTATTTTAAAAATTTTAATTTCAGGTGGCAAGGAGATGGGGAAAGAGGAAAAACAAGCCCAAGATGAATTACGAGAAACTGAGCCGTGGTCTACGCTACTATTACGACAAAAACATCATCCACAAGACAGCAGGGAAGCGCTACGTGTACCGCTTTGTGTGTGACCTGCAGAGCCTGCTGGGCTACACCCCCGAGGAGCTGCATGCCATGCTGGATGTCAAGCCAGACACTGATGAATGATGGACGTGCAAGGGCCAGGGCTACCCTTCTGAGACCTTCAAGAGAACAGCTGTGTTGGTCGGACTTTTGTTTTTAATTGTTATTCTATTTTTTATTTTCCAGAACTCATTTTTTACATTCAGGGGTGGGAGCTAACGATCCGTTTTGTGTGGTTGAAAGGAAAAGCCAGGACTTGCGGGATGGGGGGGCCGGAAGGTCTTCAGCAGGTTTTCAGGAGAGAGAGAAAAAGGTCTTAGAAGCTTGAAGGATCTGGTTTCAGGAAGGAGGCAACTGACACATCCAATCACTTTGCAAAATCGTCAAGTGCATCTTGAGTTATGGACCCGTTCGCAAGAGAAATTGTTACATCAAGAATCCAGGACTTTGTGAAAGGCATTTCATTTGTTGTTGTTTTTAAATCTGGGCGGGAACCAGGAGGAGGGTGGGATAAGAAGGTTTTCTTTGGAGGACGAATTAAAAAACCAAGGATTATTTACTTTTCATTCTGCTTTTTTGAAAAAACAAAACAAAACAAAACGCAACAACAACAAAAAAATGGGACTTTCATGGAAAGGAATCCAAACTGTTTTTGTGTTAAAATTTATTTCATGAAATTTTGTGCCAGTATTTTTTTTTCCTCAAAAAAATCGTCTGAAGCTCTAAGGTGGTCTCAGTATTGCAGTGTCATACAAGTTTGTTCTTATTTGCTGGCTGAGGATTTTGTCACAGTGAAAGAAAACTGTTTATATAGACCCCATGGGAAAAGCAAAGCTCAGCCACTGAGATCAGGGATCCCAAATTTATGTGATTTATATATGAAGGAAATATTAATGCTGATTTGGGCACAGGGGAACTGTGTGTGTGTGCGTTTCACCTTTAATTTTTAAGATACTGCCACAGCCCTTTACTTACTTGTCCTTTATGGTTTCTCGGGGTTAGACTTGATGTGATCTATGGAGCATTAAGTCTTTGAACTGAATGTATTTCGCAGCCCTGGGTTTGGACTATAGTCAGCGTACAAGCACTGCTGAAGTCATGGAAAGGAGATTAAAGGAGGAAGATTCACTTGGTTCTTGATAATTCTCTACCTGCAGCGTAGATGGCTTGGAATCAAAGCTGTGTGCATGGGCATTACCCACTCAGGTATTAAGAAGCAGGTCCTTGACGCGCGTTGCTCCAAACTAATACTCCACAGCTGCCCCTTTCTGTCTCATTCTTCCAGTATCCCATATGTACCGCCCCCTCCCCAATATTCAGCGGAGAGAAACATGCACTTTTGGATAGATGACTGAAAGAGTGACTTCAGACACCAAGGAACTGAAGAATGTATACTTGCTGGGTTTGGAACCACAGATATTAAGAGAGCATTTCAGTACAGTGTGACTTGGCTGGTTGGTAAGAGATGTGCAGGGCTTTCCTTTGAAGAACTGGCACTAGTTGGGTAGGAGGTCAGATGAGATGTGCATGCAGAGGAGGTAGCACAGATGATGCTGTGTCTTGTGCTTGGATCTGCCGCCCTGGCAGAGGGTGAGTGAAGGTTAACTGGGGAAGGGAGGAATGGCTTGAAGGCAGGGGAAACAAGGAAAGGAGCTTGAGTGAATAGAAGAAGGTGGTCCAGGAGATTGGGATGCATTTTTAGCTTCTCTCCAATTTAAATAGTCAAGAAAGGTGGTTATTATCTTTCTGCTGGTCATGAGATGAATCTAAACATGATGTTTGGGGGCCAACCCCAGTATCTAAGTAATGAGGTCATGTGCCTGCTGTCAAATGAATTCCTCCCACGGTGGGCATGGTCAGTTACGAAGACCACAAGGGACTGCCATGAGAGAGGGGAGAACAGTGAAGATGGGCTTTGCAGGGGTGGCCCTTCGGAGGATGTAGCTAAGAGACTGGAAGTGCTAACTACCTTCTAGCATATCTTTCTGACAGGCTGCCAACTGGCAGATCCCCTCACAGGCCCCTGAATTAGCAGGAATTTGGTTTATGATTCACACAGACCCATTGGCACATACACATGTCAAGCAGAGGCGGGGTGATCCCAGCTGTGTATTTTGATCTTACAGGTGCAGGTGCCTTAATGAAGCTCTCCAAATATTTTAGGAGCTGCTCAGGGAGTGTTAGGTGGAACTTTTTGGATGACATTGTTTTCTCTTAGGTTATGTGATCTTTGTTGGGCACTGGCAAAAGGGGTGTGTGTGTGTGTGTGTGTGTGTGTGTGCGTGTGTGCACGTGTATGTGTATGTGTTTGATGTTTGCAGAGATGCACAACTGCAGCTGAAATAATACCTGAACTTTCTACTCAAGTCTTTTCACATTTCAGAGATAGGTGAGAGCAGAACCCAGCCGGGTAATGGTCATTGCTTACTGTTTACAACCAGGCATCCAATTACCTTCCGAGTCATCAGCATTACCTATGAAATATATGCTGAAAACGCCCCTTCTCTGATCCAATCCCTGCCTGTAGCAGATAAGATGTAAGAAAGTGCCTCCTTTATGCTCCTCAGCCTGCGTTTTACTAAGATGCCCTTTCTTGCTATGTCCACCGATTTCAGGATTTGTAGCTAGTGAATTAGTACAAACAGCTTTGTCCATCTGGCCATATGCTTTTCGCTCGTTTGTCCAAAGGCCAGAGACCATCCCAGGAAGAGTGGTGGGTGGTTTATACACTGGAAATGTAGCAGCCTTGTTGCATTTATGCTTTTTAAAAACACATGTTAACTTCAGAGGAAGGATGGGCGAATCAGGTCTAGCTAGGTGAAACCTTTATTTTCCTGGAGAGGCCTTAATCTATGTGGGTTTTGGCTTTCAGGCCTAGAGTCCCTTGGTTCCCTTCTGTGTTCAGGGGAGGGACTTCTGCACAGAACCTGATGGTGTGGCCGTGGGGATTGGTGGCGGTTTTCCAAGATCAGATGTGCCCTTCCTCACTTTAGACCTGAGCTCTCTGGGTTTTAGAGCATTAACCTGCCTAACCTTCATGGGGAAAATATGTTTGCTCTCTTTGAGTCATGCTGTGCATGCCGCTTTCTCTGTTGGGGTCTATATAAATTTGTTGAACTTTTACCTACATTCCAAAGAGGTGTCAAGGAACCACAAATATATGTATACATATACATATATGACATATATGTATTAAAATGAAATTATCTCTATCAGGAACACTGCCTCAGTTATTGAACTTTTTTTTAAGAATACCTTTTTTTTTAAAGCTGAGAAGTATTGGAGTGAAGATGTTATATTGTGTTTGACTATTTTCCAACTTGTATTTTCATATAATTTATATTTTTTAAAAGCTGAAAATTTTAAAGTGAGATAACAAAGGAAAAGCAGGTGCTTTTTAAAAAAATCAGAACTGAGGTAGCTTAGAGATATAGTGATGTAAGTGTCTATATGTTTTTTTTTTATGCAAAAAAAATTTTCTTACCAGGGAGTTTTTGTTTGTTTATTTTAGTAGCTGATGCTGGCACATCATTTTGCTGGAGAGTTTTTTATATACTGTAGCCTGATTTCATATTGTATTTTAAACTGTGTGAAATTAAAGATGAAGAAATTCATTCATAATGATGTGGCTTTGGCTTGATTCTTTCTTGCTGGGATCATGGAGAACAGCAGGACAAATTCACCAATCAGAGACATGCCCCAGAAAAAGTGTAATTCATTCCATTTGACTCCCTCCTTTGGGAATGTGTTAGATAAAGAATTTTTAGTAACAAGGTGAACCATAATGGGAATATGGAGAAGGAATTTTAACATTTCAGTTACTGAATGACTTGGAATCATTCCTTTGTAGAAGGTCCCTGGCTTTGGCATACAACATTTGTTCACGTCAGAAAGACTATGCGTCACGTGAAGAACCTTTTTAGTGATTCAACAGGTACAGGAACAGACCCTGATACTAATACAGATGCTGTACACAAGAATTAGTATTCTTGTTCCTTCTTCTGACAGTAACTTTATGGCTTTCCATCCATCCCTGGGTCCCCAACTCTTTCACTGGGACCAAAACTTGAGAATGATACAACTGTCAGGACCCCCAGCAACCGTGACTTAAATAAAACACATATTTGTAAGTGCTTTGGAGAGGAGTGCTTAGGAATGCATTTTGCATGGTGCTTTTTCCTTGTTGTTGAAACTGTAGAAGGTGGATGTTTTTAATTAACACCAACGTTTGCAACATGAAGCCTGACTCGCAGCTGGAAAGAGAATTTTTGCTGAGTTGTTCACAAAGACAGCTCTGTTTTTGGAAACTCTGTTTCTTCAGTCCTGGGACTTGAGGTTACCAAGCACTCCTTAAGCATGGACTGTGTGGTCTGGTGGTGAAGTAGCACAACTGGACACGAGGAAAGTGCTGGGCCTTGAATCTCACGGAAGCCACCACTGTTCCCTTGGAGACTTTTGGGAAACAGTTTGAGGCCTTAACTGTTTTAATTTTCTGCTGCAAACCTGAACCAACTCATAAGTTCTGAGCGCTTTACCCACTGAATAAACAGTTCCCAGAGAACAGGTTTCTGCCTGAGTCAAGGTTTTGGTCAGAGAGCTTTCCTTCACAGCCCACTTGGTATCAATCACCATGTGAGCTAATTTTGTGTTGATCAGGGAGAAAGATAGAAGCTCTGTCTGAATGAAATCAACTTGGACCTTTGTCGCTAATTACAGGAGAGTTCTGATGGAGAACTTTGCAACTGGGCGTTGGCCTCTCAGGGATACAGCTGAGCACTCATGTGTAAACTGGGAGAGGACCCGGGGAAGCATCATCCGTAGCAACTGCAGGGTTTGGGAGGATGGGGGAGGATGGGAATAGAAGGAAATGCAAGGGAAAGAGGAGTTACACAAAAAGAGGTGGTGCACAAAGTTATAGGCACGGTGTGCTTTCTGAAGGTGGAGTATGAGAAAGTTATCGGAGTGCAGTCTGACTCTCCTGTGCCAAGCCTTTGGAATAAGCTATAAAATTAACCTTACCACCCCTTCAAAAAGTGGAGCAATAGAGCCATATTAGTCCATGTACTGTTGCTATTACAAAAAACCTGAGGCTAGGTGACATATTACAAAAAGGTTCTTTTTTCTAAAATATGTAATTTTGGAGACAAAATCCAAGAATGATGAGAGATAGCAATGAGCCCTGCTTGGTGGTGACATCATAGCAAGAGCACATATGGTGACAGGAAGGCATTGGGACCAGCGGCCAGGTTTGCTTTTTTTATAACAACTTGATCTTGTAAAATCTAACTCATATTTTGAGATCAACATTAATGTCGTCAGGGAGTGATGTGCTCATGACCCAATCACCTTTCCCTGGGCTCCACATCTTCAAGATCCCACCACTTAACACCAGCACGCTGGTGACCACGCTTTTCTCGTGTGTGAACCTTGAGGAACATGTCCAACCATATCCAAGCTGCCACAAAGGGTTTCCAGGACAGTGAACTTTAACTACTTTAACTTAGCAGGAAGAAGACCGATGGGCATGCTGGGTAAAATGAGGGTGCAGATGTAAGCAAGGTGACTCACAGATGGACTCCATGACATAGAGATACTCAGGATTAATTCAACCCAGAGGAGCACTGCGTGCAGCAGGGTAATGGGAGGGTCTTTGAATTCTGCCATGGGCACTGAGTGAGCTGCCCCCTCTGGATGGGCACAAGGCTCCTTTTTTGTCTCTAGCATGCCAGACACCCCCATAGTTATAATCCTGCCTTTTCCCTGAGGAATTTGGGTTTGTGACCCCCATATTGATATCTAGCCATAGTCCATGTTTACTTGGCATGCAACCCAATTCTAGAACCTACACTAGGAAAGAGTACAAGAGGCCATTGGGGTCATCAGGGGACCATCTGACTTCTAAGCCCTTGCTCTTTCCATGACGCCACTCCGCCACAGCACAAATTCAGAGAATCTCCTTTGCCGATGCAGGCAGAGTGCTGTCACCTGAGGAGCCACAGGCCTGGTTACTGAGAGCACAGGCCCAGGATGAAGTCTTCATTCTGTGGTGCTTTTCCACTTCTGAAACCTTTTCTGACCTCTTCTTCCCCCCAGGGACTGTTCTAAAGGTCATGACAGGGTTCCAGTTGTACAGAGACTTTTCCCAAGCTCAGACAGAAATTTTGTCCACCTCGGAGCAGGCAGGAAGACATGGCCCTGCCCATTCGATGGGCACTCCTGCTAGCTTAGATGGTGCTGGTTTGCTATTCTGGAATCCCTCTGCGCTGTGAGAGTTCTCATCTGAGGACAATGTATAACAGAAGAGAAAAGCACTTTCCTGGCACCTTTTGTAACAAGGCAGAGATGTAAGATGTCCGACTAAAAAAGGTGTTGATCAACTGGTGAAAAATTTAAAAGGTTTGAAGTTGGGAATTTAGAACTTTAAATTCGAGGATAAGGTGGAGCCAGCCATGGTCAGTGGCATTTCCTGTTTTAGTCAATGTCCGCTTCCCTTTCCCCTTTTTCATTTTCCTGGCAAATAAATGCATGTGTCCTTGGAAAGGCGGTTTCACGCGACTCCCTGGAAAATCTCAATGTGCTCATTTCCAAAGTAGTAACAGTGATGATTGTCTGCTCGAAGCACCCTAGGAAACCAGCGGTGAGCAGGCCTGTGACTCACTCCTGTGCCAGTTACAATTGGAGTCCTGTCACCATTCAGGCTCTGCTGCTCTCTCATTTCGCAGAGCTTTGATGTCAGGTCAGCTCTGCTCTGTGCACTACAAAGTAGAGGACCAAAGGCATTTTCAGCCGTCACTTATGGGAGTTACTAAGGGTCAGGAGATAGCCACTATCTCCTCTCTGTCTTCCACACTATCAGCCTGAGCCACTAGCTCTGAGCAGTCGCGGGCAGTATTTAACTTTTGCAGAAGCACACCTGAGACCTCAGCTCTGAGTCTTCTTACCCTCTCTTAAGATCTGTCCTGGAAGTGTGCCTACGCATGGTAAGAGTCAGAGACACTCGAGGGAGTGGTAGTAGTCTTCATTATCTTGGAATAATGATTATTAGCTTTGACCTTGCATTGCTTTTTTAAGGTAAGAATATTCCAAACTTTAAGACAGATGGGACTTGGGTCTCCCAAGCAGTTTTGTGAATTAAGTGGCATTCGTAAGAACTGGTTATTTTGCAAATATCAGGGGAAGGCACTAACAGTTCACCACTACCAGTGATTGAGCTGGGGACTTTCTTTCTGTGCGTCTACTTCTCAGGTTGATTTTATTCCAATTGTCCTTAGAATAAGAAATTACATGTACAGTGTAGCCAGCATACCTTTAATTTGGGATACTTGTACCCATTAAGGAAAGGTAAGGGTGACAGTGGACACAATGACCAGTGTGACCAGTGTTTAGGGGCAGTGGATATGTAATTCAGGTATCTGTTTTCTCTATGATCACATTTTCTCTACACTAGAGCCCGAAGGGTTGTAAAATATTCTCTTCAACAACTGATTATGAGTAACTGCAGGGTCTGAATGCGGCAGAGTAGGGCTGGGAGGCTCTATCAGCTCTATCAGCAACTTTCATTTGCTCTGAAGAGAAGCCTGCAAGGCGTGGGGCTTCTTGGTTGGGTGCAAGTAGAGGTCCAGGTCTGCGAGCTGCACTGTGGTGGCACAGTGCACTGCCCTAGAACCCATGTGTGCAGCTCCTGGGAGGTCCCTGACTTTAGATCACAAATATTCCTTTCTCTGTTTCCACAACCAGCAACCCCAAGCCTGAAGCCTGCCAAACAGAGACTGGATTAAAACCAAGGGGAGCCACCTACCCCGGTGAGTCTGTGGGAGTTCAGGGTCATCCACTGTCCTGGCATTACGGCCCAAAGTAATTCCTTTCATTTCCATGATACTTTGTATGGCTTCTTTGGCAAGCCCAGTAATGGCCCAGAAGATCAGTGAAAGTCCAAGTGTCAGAATACCCAAATTCCACACTGTTGAGCCAAAAGGACCTTAAGGAAGATCTAGTTCAATCTCTTCTGTGAACTTGAACTCCACAGAAGCCAAAGAACTTGCCGAATATCATCCCATTAGGAGCAGAATTCAGCACTGTTCCCATTCACGCTGTGTACCACATCTCATCCAGCGTGTAGACCAGTGGTGGTGAACTTATGGCACTTTGGCACAGTGGGCTGTTTGTATAATTGAAGGGTTCACCATCACTGCTCTAGATGATACGGACTGGCTCCGAAGTGACCCAAGATGAGTTTGCATTCATCATGATAATTATTTCCATTGGCCATCATGGACCCAGGGTGCGCTGGATGTTGTGGTTTGGCTTCGGAACAGGAGACTGAAAAAGGTGGGTTCATAGGTGATGGGAAGTCTCACATCTTTTAGTTTGCAGAAACTGAAAATGCAGCATTTTGGGGATCCTAGTACACAGGACCATTGGACGTTACAGTGAGAAGGTACCCTACATAATGATGTCACCAAACAGACTTATTCAGATGGATAACCCATATTCGTTGAACATCTGCTCTGTGGTTGGCAGTGAATTCAATACTTCCTTAGGGAATCCATAAGGAAGAAGGTACACAATGTTTTTCCTTTAGTCTGTTTTTGATAAATTAAGGGTTATGGACAAATAAAAGG